GTGTTCACTTGAAGGTGTGTTCACCTGAAGGTGTGTTCACCTGGGGCGTTTTCACCTGGGGGTGTGTTCACCTGGAGGCGTGTTCACTTGAAGGTGTGTTCACCTGAAGGTGTGTTCACCTGGGGTGTGTTCACCTGGGGGTGTGTTCACCTGAAGTCGTGCACCATTAGCAGACATTTGGAAAAATGATGCATCGATCCAGAAATGGCAGGCTTTGAGGGAATCAGTCCTTCTCAGAAGTGCCCCTCCTGCTTCCCTTTAATTTAAACGGATCTTAAATTATTCAGTGTTCTTAAATAAGTGAGACTAATCAAATAGAAATTTATTCAGAAGCTCTCATCTTAACTAATAATTTTATGAAATGAGATGCTAGAGAGATAATTATGTTTGGAACATAGTGGTCTTTTTACATCTAGGATTATCAAAGCTAATGTCACAATTAAATTAATATGAGTCACTAAAACTGGTATTTGAGGTCTTGGTTATTATGAGGATAAAATTATATATTTGTATTTTAATGAGAGTACCGCTCTTTACTTTGGTTTCTTCTGTAGATGTTTAAATTTTTTCCTAACATACTAACTGGAGGGTGACTTTCTCCCCAGATATATAGTAAATAAGATTTAGGCTTTTTTATTCAGTGTTGATGAAACTATTCTTTATAGCTACAGTTTATTTACCCATGTACAGAAAATTCAGAAAACAATGTATTTTGTAAGCAGAACGGGATCAGGTTTTCTGTGTAGGTGGAGCTCAGTTTCCATATGTCTTGTGGTCAGTGAGACATAACTAAAATGGGTTTAATCTTTAAGGTTTTCACATTTTTCTGTAATTTGTAATTCTTTGGATTTTTTTTAAAGATCTCATAATACTCAGTAGTTATTTCAAGGGTTCTGTGCAAAAAAAAAAAAAAGGATATGAATAGATAGTAAAATTATGTTTGCATTCCTGGTCCTTAGTTTAAATCTTAAGATGTACTCATACCACCCCCGGAATAAAAAGTTTAGAAGGAAGGTCATAGAATTAGTGCAAATATCTATAAAGGTCTTAGGCCGATAGTGTCACCTATCCTAGTCAAAGGGACCAGGAACGGTAAAGAACAGTAATTTTCAGCCAATAACATTGTGTTGCCAATTTTCAGAAAATAGATTAAAACATTACTAAAGTATAGGGTTTCAAAATCAATTTGAAATAATTAGAAATTCTCAAAAAGTTGATCTCAGTTGGCCTCTGTTTGGAATTAACCAAAACGTAGACACAGGCAAAGTGCTGGCATCTGTCACTGGAGGACGAGAGCCTGACTTATCTTCACGGCTCCATGCGTAGTCAAGTCACCTGCTCTTGGAGAGAAACCACCGCTAAATGTAACTTGCTATCTGGTGCAATGCCAAGCCGTGTTTATGAGATTGGGGTCTTATTTGCACTATTAATTTGAAAACAAAAAAATGGTAATGTTAAAAGTCCACGTTTTATCGTCATTATCTAGCACTTGACAGTTGAATTTCTTTGGCAGTCATTATTTATTTAGCAGTTTCTACTTCCAGCATGCTTTACGCCTGTTAATTACCTAACACAAACAGTAGTAAGAGCCTCCTGATTTTTATAGGTGGAGGAACTAGCGGAGCCATTAAGATCTGCCCGGGGTTCAGTTTCATTGCCCTTGACATTTTCTCTGCAGCTTAATCCCTGTGACTCCTCAGCTTCCCACTTCTTAAAGAGTGATAAGCACATTTAGTGCCTCTGTAACGTTTTCGGCTGTATTCTCTCCTTTTGCTGGACTCCTTTGGATCAAATTTTTGGTTTTATAACAAAGAAGTAGAAGTCACCCCCTACCAGATCTTTTTCTTATTCCCCCCGAGTTCTTTCATCCTGAAATCATAAAAATAGTTACCCTCTGAAACAGATCAGGAAATAGATTGTCCATTTTCCTAGACCTTATACATTGTTTTTAAAAGTTTGTGTAGGCTGGACACAGTGCTCACGCCTATCGTCCTGACCCTTTGGATGGTGGAGCTGGGAGGATCATTTGAAGTCAGGGATTTGAGACCAGCCTGGCCAACAAGTGAGACCCCTTTTCTACAAAAAGGTAGAAAAATTGGCCAGGCAAAGGCATGCGTGCCTATGGGCCCAGGTCCTGGGGAGACTGAGGCAGCAGGATCACTCGAGCACAGGAGTGTGTGGTTGCTGTGAGGTGTGATGACACCACTGCACTCTAGCCTGGGCTACAGAGTGAGACCCTGTCTCAAAAAATAAATAAAATAAAAAAGTTTTTGTAAACAGTTTTTTGACTTTTAGCTATATATTATCTGTTGAACATTATCTGGAATTTTTGGTAAAAATTATGCATCTTTCTCATCACTTAAAAATATAGGGCACACAGGTAATGCACAGTTCTAGCCAGGTTCCTTGGCCTTGCTTGCATCTGGTTTTTGTTCTTATTTTGCTCTGGTCTCAGCCCATACTACACATGTACCACTGAAGTGACAGTATAATGACGCTTAATTTCTCTGTTTTATGTAGACAGTGTTTCCGGTGCCCAGTCTTAAGGATAAAATGGTAGAGATTCATTACAGTCACTTTGTGGCTGTTAAATTATTTTATACGATGGTGATGATTCTGATTATAGAGCATTTATTTCACACTTTAAATTTATAAAGTACTTTGTAAGACCGTCTTAGTTATTTTTATGCCTTACATTGATTCAAAGTCTTTTCAACACAGCTGATTGACCACTTTCAGGTAATTATAAAATGATTACTTCTAGCTAATATTTGACTTCTCTTGAAATCCAGTCATTCTTTAAGTGTCCTTAAAGGGGCTGTGGTAGAAGACGGAGGGAGGGATGACCTGGGTGAGTGGCTCACACCTGCAGGTAACGGGTGACTGTCCCTCCCTTCATGTCACTTTCTAATGGGGCAGATATGCTCTGGCCGTCCTACTTGCTTTAACCCTCAGGAGGGTTCCCATCTCTGTGTCTCCTTTTCTAACTTCTCTTGTGGAGTCCACTTTCTCAGAGTCCTTTTTCCTGGCTGCGTTAGTAAATACAGAAGAACCTCCATAGCCGACCCCCTTCCCTACACTGACCTCTCCTTCACCTGACCTCATTTCCTAGACCAGACATGCACCACATCCCCATGTCTGCACAGCAGGCCTAGTTCCTTATGTTGACCACCTCCGTGTGTTGACCATTTGGTCACAGTCCCTTGGGTGGTCAGCTTACTGAGGTTCTGCTGTACTGAGCAAATGAATCAACAGTTAGGTGTGCATCTGTGCTAACGGTAGGCAGAGCTTTGGACTGTGTTCAGAGTTCAGAAACAACATCCTTTGACCGTGCACTTCCCATGTTCTATGCTGGGAATCATGGTGCACACACTCGGGGCTGTGTAGAGAGCAGTGGTTCCTTATTTCTACAAATGCATTAGGAACAACACAGAGGCTCTGCTTCAAGTCTGTAGAATTTCCAAGCAGGTATTTAA